GTGTGTGTGTGTGTGTCCGTGTGTGTGTGAGGTGACTCCAGGGACTAAACTCACACGTTGGTCTGAATCTCAGCAGATTTGCTGACTTCTCTCTTCCCCTCCAGATGCGACCTCTGAATGTGGACGGCTCTCTGAACCTGCTGGGGCTGGAAACCGTGCGCCTTATCTACTTTAGGAACAAGATGGCCGGTAAGATCGCTCTCTGTGCCGTGTGAGGTGAAGAATTCGTCCTCGGTCTCTTTTTAGCATTTTGCTGTTAAATGTCTTTATTATTAAGCGTAGGATTACCTGCAAACTACTGCAGTGGCAGGTCAGGATCCAGCTGATGTGAGCTGCTTATATGACAGCGTAAGACCGAATTGCAGCGTGACAAAGGTCAGGTGTGCGCTGGGCCGTCATCACGACCCTCACAGATGGAAGCAGCTGATGTTTGTGTCACGTGCAATAAGTTAAAGGAAGTCGCATAAAAACAAGCGCTCCTCTCTGTTGCCAGTTTGAATCTTCCTCTGGTTTTGATCGGTGTCCAGCATCAGCAGCCAAACGATGATCTTTGTTGATCTTTCAGAGGGCGACGAGCTGGTCGTCCCGGAGACGTCAGACAACAGCCGGAAGCAGATGGTGCGCAGCATGAACAACAAGAGACGCTACTCCTTCAGAGTGCCCGAAGAGGAGCGACTTCAGCAGAGGAGGTAGTTTACCTGAAGCTCTGTACTCGCCGCCGGGAGCTCTCGGAGAATTCGCCGTTATTTCCCCAAAGCTGCTGTCACCACGTTCTGTTACTCTGAGCTGCTTTCCAATGCTGATGATGGCCTGTGCCCGATGGTTGCGATCTGTATTTTTAACTGAACCAGCCGTATTAGCATCATCCTTGTAGGGAGGAAAAACCTCGTTGCAGTCTTTGACGCGCTGATCCTGTGTCTGTGATTCCAGAGAAATGCTGCGAGATCCCGAGATGAGGAACAAACTGATCTCCAATCCAACCAACTTCAACCACGTGGCTCACATGGGACCAGGAGATGGGATCCAGATCCTGAAGGATCTGCCCATGGTACATGTGCAAACACACGAACATGCTTCCTTATCCTGTCACGTGAGCGCCATCCCTGACATACTGAAGCCCCCCCCCACACTGACACTGTCTGGTCCTGAGTTGTGTGTCTGTAGAGAGCATGCATCATGTTTTTCTGCCCTGTGTGTGTGTTTACGTGCACCCTCCTCACTCCTCTCCCCCCGCACTGCACTCTGTGTGTGTGTGTTTTCTGCGTGTTTAAACCAGAACGTCCGTGTTCAGGATAGCCGAGCGGGGTTCAGCGGCTCCGTCAGCATTCCCTCCATCACCAAGAACCGGGCCGAGCCGGGCCGCTCCATGAGTGCCAGCAGCGGACTGGGCATACGTGAGTACCGGCAGTCGTGTTAGAGCTCACGTTCGGGGAGGTTCGTCTGTCTGTGGCTTCATGTCTGCCGCCTCCTCTCGTCTCCGCAGGCTCATCCTCGCAGAATGGCAGCGCTCTGCGCAGGGAGCTGTCAGGAGGAAGCTACGGGTCCAAACGCCAGACCATGACCTCTCCTTCCGAGAGCTCCCTGTCCTCTGGCGGAGGGGTGGACTGCGGTGATGCTCCGCTCTCACAGTTCGACAGAGAGGTCAGTGAACGTGCAGCTTCATGTGAGGTTGACTCTGAGTATTAAACAAAGTGTTTCATCCAAACAAACATTAACTAAATAACTCAGTTTTTACTGGCTGTTGGCTCGAACCTGCAACATCGTGTCAATCAAACATCAGCTTCGTATGACGTCCACATAGAGACGGCTGTTTTCTTGTCGTGAGCTTTAGCAGCTAGACATTATCAGCAGAAACTGCCTGTACTCCCCTTTGAACCAAACTCCTCCATCAGTCACGAGCATCCCGACATCTGCAGGCCACGCTCCTCATCCCATCGCTCTGCAGGTGTTAGCTCCCTGTGATGTCAGCAGAGGCCGTATTTGCCGTGATTCTTGCTTTTAGCTTTTAGGTCGGATGAGAGCCAATCAGACTCCAGTCTGGCACTGGTGGTGCAACATCGCTCATAATGGTTTCCGGCAACATCACTTCTAAGTTGTTTTCACTCGCATGAAGCGACTCTGATGGAGAGTACAGGAAAAAAATTAAAACAGCAATTATGGGCGACGGCTGCCCCCCCCCAGTCCCCCTGTCATTCCTCCTGCTGGTCCTCCCTTCCCATTGGACGTTGTCAACTCCATCCTGCCCCATCTCGCCTCCCTCCATCCTAACTCAGCTGTTCCCTGCTTCGTGCCTGTCCCCCTCCCTTTCCCCTCATCCCTCCCCACCCCAGCATGTTGTCTGTGGGCTGGGCGCTGAGTCTGAACTCTCCTCTGCAGTGGCAGGCAGTCTCACCGTCGGAGAAGACCCCCGATCTGAAAAGGGCTTTAAGGACCCTGCTTAGTAAGATGAAGGTAACGTCAACAGCTGCAAACACACAACTGAGAGCACCGTGTCACTGTGTATCTC